ATATAATGTATAATCTTAATAATCATCATAAATTACCACCGGCAGATCGTGCAAAGTGAAATAAAGCATAGTTTTACACAAGAACTGCTCCATAGACCATCATTACTACTTCACCCATATATCATAGTTACAGATTTCGTTAACATCCGGTATCAAATGCGGCCGATCTTTACGTCAGTTTGGCGATGACATGTACAACGACAGAAAGGATGAAAAAACTACGGTGTTCGATGCTGTTATATAAGCATTCCCTCCGAAAAGCGGTATCAAAACTACCAGTCATCTCTCCCACTTATCACGTTCGTATGTCTTGTTCGGAAGTCGAAAAACTCCTTGCATCAGGCCGCCTTACTGATTCGACCTGTCCTCCATTCTGTTGAATACGACGATGTGGCCTATCTGTTCTACTTGACAGGACTCTTTCGCTGTGTTGCGCTTCGTTACTATCGTTTTATTGTGGACGGGCCTTTAATTTCAGTCGGCTTCATTCGTCCTAGTTGTCGCCCTCATGTTTGGCCTGTACGTATGTTATCCTCGTAGCGCTTTGCACCAGGATCCCGATCTCGTTGACCGGGTCAAAGAGAGGGGCGGTCGCACTGACCCTTATCATTGTGTAACGTACTGTCTTTTGTGGTTTGCTTGTCGAATGCGGACTGACTCCTGTGAGGGTGCCATAGTCTCGCACAGTGGCAGTATTCTGACGGCTGTGGCACCAACGGCAGTGGAGGCTAGATGACCAGTCGTGATTTGTCATTCAAAACGAAACCCTCAAAACGGAACCCGCTACTTGCTCTTTACCTTGTGACTCCGTGTCTATCTGCGTTGAGTTGACAGTCTCGCACAAACGCGTACTAGCCTCGAGCGCACGATAAACATCTTCTAGTGCCCAGGACACGCCAGGCTTCGACCCGTTTGCGTGGCCCCTTCGTCCGTATCCATCATCCTTCCCCGTTAGGGCTAGCGTTCGAGTAGTCTCGAGAGTCGAGTGCTCCTCCGTACCACTCCGTGGCATTTACTGTTAACTGTGAACGGAATTGGCGAAAATGATGTCGACCTCGACAACAGCTTCAGGTTGTCGGCGACAAGAACAGCAGCAGCAGCAGCAGCAGCAGAAACGACCCACGGATTCGTGCGGCTGGGCCTCAGCTGCCTGCCTGGTTTCACGTACCTCCCCTAAAGTGACCCTGACTCGTTCCAAAGTCCAATCTCGGCAAAATCTTCCCTATCGATCGGCGTTGTTCGCCAGCAGTGTCACAACGCCAAGCTGTGTGGCAATGTAAGTAATTCTTGGCTACTGTATTTGTCACAGGCATAGGCCTACTTCAGGCCTTGACTCTGGTCCGTTTTTTGCTCCTCGCCCTCCGCTTTGCCGATAACGATGTTTAGTTAATTTACATTTATTTGAACATCGAGCGCTATGACGGACAACAGCAGTGACAACATCAGCAGCAGAAATGGCAATTATGTCTGAATATGATACGTTTAATAGGTTGGGATACTCTTTGGCATAGGGAGCCACGTGTTATTATGTTCGTATATACGCATAATGCATAAATTAGTGAAGCACTGCCTTGGAAGGCAACTAAGCCACGGCTAGATCTTCAAATCATCATTTGTCAAACGATTCAAGAAAATTGTTGAAAAATTTATTTACACCTACTTCTAAGCAAAAATAATTCGGGTACAATCACGCTGCTAGCGTACACGACCATAGAGTTCTATGAAACGACGGAAACTGTAGGACAGTTTCCGTCGTTTCGTAGAAACGCTAGCAGCGATCCTCAAATTCACCCAGTTCAAGCACTTTTGACATTTACGGCCAAACCCATTCTTAAGGGCATCGTCGAGCCCAGTTAAAGTTCACCTCGCCGTTAACTTACGGCGACGATTAAATCGAACATACGGCTATTTTGGAAAACAAGCGTATGTTAATAAGCGACTATACCTTCACATATCGTCTTAATAGATAATTGTCTGTATGTGGGAATTTGGCAAAATACTCGTATGTCAATTAACAGCTACTTACTGATTACGATGTATTTATATTGTATTGTTTTGTATAAACAAACGGGTAAAGGAAACGCGTTGTTTGGTAACCAAGCTAACTATAAACTCAAGCGAGCAGAATGTGTATGAATGTTTTGCACTTTGTTTAATCTTGAAGTGTTCCTGTCTCGATTACCGCACATACGCGATCCTTAACACACTAACTATAGACTTCGCCTTTTAACCGACGCCACATCCATTACCGCAATCAGGATACAAACAAAAGCAAACAATTAAGCAGAAATCGACGTACGGAGACCTGGGCACAGTGGAAAAGATATGACGAAAAAGGGATCATCCACAAAAGCCGCCTAAGTAAAAAAAAACTATAAGGGATTTAATTTACGGCTGGTTTACGCTTCTCCATGGCAGTACTACTCTCAAACGCCAATAATCAGCTTCATTCCATTTGAATATTCCGGGTCGCCATTATGGGTCGGGCATCTTATCGGAAAACATGCCATATCACAGCTACTATTATTATTATTATTATTATTATTATCAAGGATCCAGAAGAAGATTACCGCCGAAGAGTCAATCGCCTGACCCCTATATTAGCGATCTTCTACTGGTTCGTGCGTACATAGCACGTTCGGTGTGCGTCCACGCTTGGGCACCCGGTTACAGCTACGGGCAGCGGTACGGTACAATGGTGAATTGTACGCAATATTGACACAAAAGGTTAAACTCCTAGCGTCAAAAAGCGACGCAGTTAGCAACGGCGGCACGAGATGAACTTGAATCAAACACAAGAGGACTATAAAGAATGAAAAATACGGACCCAAAACGAACCCAAGTGAACGGACAATTGTTTTCTAAAGCCCAACCTGATAACCTATCACGTTTTCGGTTATTCGCCACTAGTAGATATTCTTCCATAATTGTGTATAGTAGCCGCCCGTTGCTACATACATGTGCCATGACATGAATCCGGTGGCGTATGGGACACGGTGTGAATATGTGCACGTCTCGTTGACGTTAGTAATACCGTCGACAAACAGGAGAAACGCCCAGCGAAGCATCATCGTTCGGCACAGCTCTAGCTTTGTTTATCTGGAGGAAAAGAAAGAAGTATCTCCCCGTGAGACGCGAACGTGGCTTGACTGCCGATGCGTTCATGACGGTTACTTTAGGCCGTCGGCGTATCGGCCGAAGCGGGCAATCGAGGTCCTTCCGAAGCCGCTTAAGATGCTCCGATGACGGTAGCGATAATGGCTACTACAACAAAATATGTATATATGCATTAAATGTGTGAACGTCGTATGTATGAATATAATTAAATTATAGGTGAACAAACGGTTGTATCGAACGGTTAGTCGAGAAAACATGTGACAATAGCGTTAAAGGACCCAACGACTCCGGGCCAGGCCAGGCCAGGCCGGGCCGGGCCGCCCGGCTGGTTGATACCTGAATGCAAACTGAGCTAACCAATCACGATCGATGCGAAGATGGCAGCAACAGTAACAACAATTCCGAAAATCTGACAGCACTTACTAGAATGAGGCTACATTATTGACAGGGACACGCAAACATACAGGATCAGAGAAATCATTTAAAGTCGCTATAGAAGCAGCGTCGACAGCAGAGTTTCTTTATATTGTGTTCGCAGTGACGACGCCAGCGGCGACGATAACTGCGGCATTAGTCCTAATGAATCAAATGGAATTAACGGTGATCTGACCGACTCGATTGGCCGTGTCGGTCTCTCGTTCGCGCTCGATCGGAGAGCCATACCCATTTATATCGGACATTTACATACATTGACGACGTAGCCGATTCTGGTACCGCCACAGGGGAAAGCAACCGTTGTAAATATCTGTTTGTTCTGGCCGTGAGCGCGTGTCCGGGTGGCTTATCAAACTGTAACAGCGTTAGCAACAAATTCGGAGCGAATTTCACCGGCGAACTATTACTACCGTCATTATTCTACGACTACCATTACGAATTAATATTAAATATCTGTGTCTGATTTACCGAAAATCGAATTAGTAGCAGCCGGTGAAGCTTTGCAGAAGAAGCATGGGAAAGGTCTTCGCGTGCTGAAGATGACAAAGCCCGCGCTCATCTCGGTGACTTTCAGATCCGATCGCTGTTTTTTTCCAAACTAAAATTTGGCATTTCTGGAAAATCATACGATGCTGCGCATATGAAGGTTATCGTCTGTTTTGGCTGATTTCTTTTTTCTCTTATTACGCTCAACGCGACTTGTGAATAAATGAGTCAAATTTAATAAGGTATAATAAACAAAATTTGTATTTCGAAATCAACAAATATGTAGGTGACAACAGAATTCCGCGGATGTTGCGCTCCATTGCGTGAAGAAAGCTTGATTGATTCTGATTATTATTACGGGTCGTTCTAACGACGTGCACGGGTTCCTGTGTAGTAGTTCACCTATACGAACCCAGCTGATAAACGTTGAGCTAGTGAGGCATCAGTAGTCAAATGCAATTTTCTTAACAATAAATAACCACTAAGATTTTCTTGTAAAGGTTATCGTTTCGTTCATGTACCGTCTGATATGATTATACTAACGAAAACCATCTGATTTTTTTCTAGTTTACTACTTCCAGGATATCATCAGCGGGCGCAATGGATCTAACAACATCACTAGACAAGACCACGTCTGCAACTCCTGTTAAGGATGAGCCAATCGTCATAAATGACGACGGTCTGCAAGCCAACAATAAGAAGCCTGAGGACACTACAGCCAACAGCACCTCGATAGGTTCCGCTGGGCCTGATAAACAAACGGGCACCTCTGATCGTAAATCCCACTGCTCCTTAGGCAAAGCGACTTCCTTAAACAGTTCATCGTCGAGAGCTTCCAGCGCTCCCATTTTTAGCCAAGGGCCCGCCCATCTCTCAAATAACCGCAGCCCAGCAACAAACGACGGTAGCAACTCGACGCCCGAAGAAATGGCGTTATCGCCATTAGAAGTAACGGGACCAACAGCTTCAATCGGTTCCCCCACAGAACATGGTAAACTAAGGTCTTCATCACAACATAGCTCAGAGGGGGCAAGCAAACTTCAGAAAGCAGCGTCCTCTTACCTTGACAGCTTGACATCACTGACCCCGTCTCTTATTTCGACACCCGCTGTGGGTTTTGGTAAGCATTTATCTGTTCGCTTCTTACTTACCTGATCTGCTTTGCTAACAGAGGATAAAAATGTAACGCGTGAACATACGTATATTCTCCTAGGCCTCTGTGTGTGGTTAAAATATGAACTATTTGGTGTTGTATTATGTCACGTCCATGTTCACTTTTATACTGAAATGTATGATGGTAAGTCTTCCATTACCTAAATAGTATTAATCACAGGTCACCCTTTTACCTGGTATATTTAACTCTTGCATTCGTTGTAAGCCTAAAAGACACACCACCGGAACCAATGCTTGACTTAGGCACCCGTTTGCAACAAATAGTACTCTTTTTCACGTAAATACAATTTATCGCTAAAATGATATTCAAAGCCATCTGTAGAAAAAATGTACTCCAGATTGTCAAAACAGGTAAAATCATATAGACATGTATCATGTCTGTGCACTGACCTTCGACACGTATCCAAGATCAAGCGTAAATCCTAAGACTCAAGATCCTCGTTGAACAGGTCAAGAGGGAATCGAGCAGACCGAGCTGAAGGAATAGAAGGCTGAAAGCAGTCATCGTCACTGCTGCAAAAAGCAGCAAAGTAACAAGGCGTTGACGACTGCATGCGTGCGCGTGTGCGTGCGTCCATACCGACGTTTATATGATGACAGGTGAACAGGTAGACATCGACGTCGGGATGGCGACGGGGGCAATGACTGAAGCTTAGCGAAAGCTTGAACGAGAGAGGAGGGGTTTGATTTATCTAACAACAACAGAAGCAGCGTTACTTTGCACTGGCTGAAAGGGATGTTAGCATCGATGGCGGAGATGCAGTGACAATTCAGGCAAGGTCCTGAATGCTAACAGTGTGACCGCATTGAGGATCGTTACACTCATAGTCGTACGGTTGCCCCTAGCTCTATAATGGTGCTCCAGTCGAATTAATGGGGGTGAGGTGCTCCGCCGATGCTACTGTGTCAGGCAAAAAAAGAAACGAGTGGACGAGCACGCGACGCGTAAGCGACAAAGACAAGCACATGCACGCGCACACGTACATACAAGAAAGCAGAACAAATAGCCATAACAGCGACAAAGAAATAGAAGAGAACTAAATCAAGTGAGAGCAGCGGTGACGTCGACGGAAGACGTGGCAAAAATCACGGACCTTGCGCCTGCTCAGCTAAATGGACGTGCGTAAATAGTGACGATTCTGTTGACGACCAGCGTAGATCGTTCGTAAATCCCTAAACGAAGGCGACGATTGAAAAAGCAGAAGAATCGGGATACAGAAAACGAAGTCAAGACGGATCCCAGCGCCGTCTGTGTTAACGCCGATGGGGACCACACTAACAACGGCGGTGATGACTGAACCGAAAGGGTCACAAAGTCAGAGAATCAATTTACGCCCCAGATCTTCAAAACAGCAACCAACTTAGCAATTGAGCCAATAACTGCACTGGTTGACCGCTGCATTGATTGTCCGACCCAACTGGGATCTTGGCCATTTGATAAATGCTGTCGGCTCTCCATCTGCTTATCCGCCGGAGCGCAGTTCATCGTATTAAAAACACACGCTCTCACATATTTACTATATATTGATAAAGAAGCAGGGGGAGCTGTTGCGCTGGCTTGATGCTCGCTTTTGACTTCATTTTATTAAGATTAAATTCCTATCGAATCCCCGCTGGCGTCGGATGGCTATTGCTTGTGAGTGTCGAACCTTGCCTTTGTCAAGTGTCAAGGATAAAGAGATGGTGAAGCAGAGGGCAGAGCAGCTATCGAGCATTGGCCTAAGTGTTATGACCACCATTGCTTGCTTCCATCTGCTTTACGAAGTACTGGTACGTGTAGCGATGGAACGGATCGACCGCGTCGACGGCGCTCCATGTATCGCAAAACTGACGTAATAAGAATGAAATCACTACGAAGAGCCACTGCGTATGTCGGTGACAAAGTAAACCAATCTGTTTTCATCGCCGTTGCTCTTACTATTTCTGATGCAGACGACGACGACGACGACGACGACTATTCATAGGTAATCTCAAAGCAGTGAATTATCGTATCGTTAGCTCGTTGGCTTTCCGCAACAAATAAAGTTCTTGCTATCGATTGAGTGCTGATGAGGGAGAGTTGAACTTCGTCCCATGGAGGCCTCAATTGAAACTTCAATTCAAAGTCAGATAATGCTTGTGACATACTTGTACGTATTAGAGGTGGTAGAAGAGTCGGCAATGGTTGAAGGTTATATCTTTTTTTTTTTTTTTCGATTAAGACAGTTAACACTGCTGTTTGTCGTACGAGCACTTCTCCAATGACTGTAGCTATTGGTGAAGATAGATAGCGCATTGGGTAAGTCAATTTCATTTACATGCGCGATGCCATTAAACCATTTGTGTACGGTCTTTGGACAGAATCCTCTTTAGCTTCATCTACATCAGCAGCCGCTACGGTGAACGTGTTCGTGTCAGAAATTCAGATCTACAAATCCGTCCGTGGTTCACTCAATTATTGAGACGTGTACACGAAGCGTCAACAGCAACCTACGCTATAGGCGGCAAATTGTTGTGGCCATAGACAGGCCACGTTTGTTTAGGTTTACTTAGGCTGACAACGATAGCGTCGGTAAAGGCCACAACCCTTCACAAAAGATATTTGCTCATTCGTACGTATGAAATACGAATTTCCTACGGGTGAATTGTATAGGGTCGTCCGTTTTGCTATACTTGTCGAAAGTCTAAAATACGGATCTAGTTAGCTATCAGATCAAGTATTTGCAATCTAGAAGGTATATGTATATAGGCCACAAACCCGGGCATAAGGCTCTATCACCATTTGCTTAGTGCCCGTTAAGTTCTATTTCTGCTTTCCTTCGTTTGCATAGCCGCAGTAGCGGTAGCAGCAGCAGCAACAACAACAACAACAGCAAGTCTCGTTCGCGTATCTTTACGGGTATTTCTTTGTATCCTAACTCGTATCTGTTGGATGGTCGTTTCGGCAGTGCTTTCGAATAGGAAACTAACTGTCTATGCGTTTAAATTCGGCGATCCGCCACCGAACGAGCTCATGAACACAAAGATTAGCAGCGACGCCGTTTTAGTAAAGCTTCAGACCGTTAAACCGAATGTTCGGACATCAGACTCAGTCAAAAAACGAGTTCTCCAACCTTTTACTCAGAGTAGCAATTAAATGACGACGAAGCCTGAACAAGACGATCTGATTGTGGTGCTTTCTTACCGACACAGATGAGGTTTGGCGGCAATTGATGGGTCGAAAAGGAGCAAACAGAGCCGACAAATTTGCTAACGCTATGTCGAAGGGTCATCCCCCACAGCGTCAAGGACCGTTTCGGCACAGCTGACGTGGGATGTCGATCACTTATGTGTTACACTGGCCCTGACGTTATATGGGACTTTATTTAGGACTTTTATAGATCAGCCGTTGATATAAGCGAGGTGTTTATTTGGATCGAGACAGGCAAATTTGAAGAGAGGTGTTTAAGCCAGTATTACAGTATCGATTATACGATCAGCATAGCCTTTCCTTCTGGCGAGGAAAATCCCCTTTGAAGCTTCATAGTTGCGAGATATTTAATTTTATGGCAAAGATCTACTTCATGAGAAACCCCTTCTCGAGGCGATCTCAACGGGCATATTCTAGAAACGAGCTACTACTGATGAAGAAGGGCTAAAGTCCGCTGTGTTGTTTTGATGCAGAATAGCACCTCGAATCCTTCAGACAAGGCCTATAGCCCACTTATTTGGATGCTTTCGAAGTGCCTAAATGAAGTCTTAATGGAATTCGAAACTGAATCAGTGGTCAAATATAGTACAACAACTCTCAGATATAGTTGCTGGCGTACCGGCAGTTGTGTAGTTTGAAGTTCAATGCTCGCTTGTGACTACGTAAAATCATTGGAGTTGCTAGTTTTTTTAACTTACCATGCAGCTACATTCAATCCTCAATCCTTCCGTTTCTACTTTTCACAACGTGCCTCAGACGTAACTGCTCTTGTGCAGAATATTCGCGTGTAACTATTTGACGCTCTTCTACAACAAAAAACTTCGCTAACTCGCGCTAAACCAAGGAACCCATTTTGGCTTGTGGTAGAACCAGGTCCCACAAAGATCTAACAGTTTCTAGTTGGCATTGTAGTACTGCATTTGCTTGACGTCCAACACACAGTTCTTCTAACTCGTAGAAGATTATTTGTAAGTTATAAAATCTGATAAAGATACATTCGGTTTATGATAGATTACTATGCAAATGGCACACTTCGTCTCCGAAAACGCTATTCGAATCGGTTTACCCCTGCCATCAATTAGTGCTAAAATCTAACCCGTTTGTTTATTCTCTCTGGGCTGATATATGCTTAAATGAACCTCACAGCCTCTTTTTGCCTAAAAGGAAGGCGGAAGCGGAGAATAGTTAGTCCCCCTCCGTACGTGAAACTGCAATCCTCCCCATTTCTCCTGCAGGAAAAATTGCTCATAGACCGATCTAGTGAATCACTTAAGCAGTGCACAGGGCTTCTTTTTCGTTGCGCACTTTAACGATCCGCTTAACGACCCAGTCGCTCAGCAGATTTGTCGCCGTCACCACAATTACTATTCCGTCTCTATCGGCCTCCAGTTGTACCCTAAAACCAATCGGGATGTAGCAACAGCAATAGCGTTGGCTCTCTCTTTATGGGATGCTACCTGAGAGTGTGGACACTTCAAGCCGAAAACGAACTTCAAAGAGGTCTTGAGCCACTCTTTCGGTTCGAGTTCAGCGGCAGTTGTCAAAAATAAACTTCGTGGCACCTACCTAACGCGTACAGATACGCGTGCTCACATGCAGACGGCCAAACGTTTTACCAACGCCAAAGGGAAAAAGCAAGAAGTAAAAAGCTATGAAACATAATGACTGTATTAATGGTGTATCAGTCTGGTGACTCACTTAGTGGTGACTTGTCGGAGAAGCAGTGGTTGGGTTGTAATTGCTAAGGCGCCATGCGGCGATGACTAACTAGTTAACCA